ACTTCATGGCTCGAGGTGGTCTGTCGTGACAGGGCCTTCGGTGGTTACGGATCTGAGGTTCTGAACAAGCCTCAATGTGACGTGTTACGTTACGTTGGCTTTCTCTAGGAAGACAAAGTTTGTCAAGAGTCGTTCGTAGATGATTGGGAGCGGACACTGCAGGGGCTTCATACCACCATCGCCGGAAACTGCTAGATGCGTTTAAGACAAACAGAGAAATAAGCAAACAAGGCACCTCTGTATGCGCGCATCTTCTTCCGTCGGGCGTAGGGGATTTGTTCAATCCCCGGGCGCCGGGGCCCCCCCATGTTTTGTGTGCATCTCTCTCTCTCTCTCTNNTTGCTTGCTTGCTGGGGGTTTGGGGTTTTTGGGGGAACCCCGGGCCGGAGGCCAACCCCTGCGGCGCGCGTCTGAGTAACGGATTGGCCCCTGTCTTTCCACCGGATGTCTCTCTCTTGCTTGCTTGCTACAGTAGTGGTGCTGAGTTTTCGAGGGAGCCCTGGCCCGTACGGCACCCCCGAAAAGAACACCCCTGCTAAGACCATCACCACTAGGGCGGACTCTGTAAGGCATCATTCAGGTCATCCATGGACACTCCAACGGTCGGCTTTGCAAGAGGGCAGTGCAAAAGGTCGAAACAACACCTGAACAAAAACGGGCTGTGTATGTGTATGTCTGTAGACCTAGGACTTCCGGTATATGAAGGTGGCTTTGAACATCTTGGAACAGCAAACTACAGCTTCCGAGCAGGGGTGCTCAGTCGCCCGAGTTGGGTCGGCCACTGTTACTCTGTTGCAGCCTGGCGTTCAGACTTTGTGCACTTGACGTGCCATCAACTTCATAGTCACAAGCAAGAGACTTGAACTCTCATAGGCTGAGCTGCAAAGCGGCACTCCCCTAATCCACAGGAGTTTCCTGCTAGCTGTGGTGAATCCTGCAATGTAAGTTCCACCGGGAGTCTAAGATCTCGGCACTAGCTGACTAGCGTTCGCTTTCAAGGAGGCTCTGAGGCTTGCGGGGATTCCTGGGACAAACCAAGCCCAGCCCTCAGCATCCGGCGACCGCGGTCCCTGGCGCATGTATGGACACCTCGCAAGGTGACTCTTGGCTTCTCTTCGCTACGCAGCATATTGCCTGAACGCTTTGCTTCCGATGCGGCCGATGGATTTCGGTCACTACATACTCCACCCTACGAAGCTGAGATAGATTGAGGCTTGCACTGCGTAGGCCGTGGCAGGGGAGCCTAAAGGTTCGCCTTGGCGAAGAGAACAAACCTTCAAGGAGAAGAACGAATGACGGCCTCCTCGCAAAATTCGAGTATGCAGATGCAGGCAGGCACGGCATAGCACTGCAATGAACTGCACGAATCTCCACCGGTTTGAGGTTCCGGCTCCAATTCAAGGTGAACCTGACAGAAAAGCATGATGCAATACCCCCTTGTCCTGTTTTCAACGTGATTGCATAGCCACTTGCAGGCTAGCAGGCTGAAGCTCAATCCTTGCCTGCTGGCTACGGCTACTGCCCTCATCATATGCAAGGCTGCGGGCCCTGTCTCGTGGACGTCAGAGAGATGTGCCAGCCGGATCTGCCCAGGCCTCCGTCATCGCGATTAGCACTCAGACCGATCCTCCTTCGACTGATGGGCTACACCATCCAGTACGTACATGCAATAGCAGGTCCATTGAAGCATTAGCTTTTGGACCCTTCGTCGCCGTGCAGCAGAATTGCCCCTTTCAACTTCAGTGAGCGTCTGTCAGGGAAGACAGGTAATGTCTATTCAAATTCCAATGGACATGGTTGAGTCTCGGCTTCGGCATGCTTCGGCTCGGGCACCGACGGTGCAGTGACGGTGAGGCGGATGTTGAGCTGCGCCAGCTCTTGTGCTGCCTTGCTCGGAGCACAGCTGGGTGAATCTCCGAGAACGTGTGGCACACTACCACTCATGTCCACTATCTATTTCTATTACCATATATTACTACATGTAGCAATAAACCGATCACAACAAGCAGTAAGTAGTAAAAACAGTCGTGTAAATGCTACAGTACCTACTACGATTGATTTCCGCCATCATAAACAGACATCACGTCAACAAACTAGGAAGCCCTGCTTTCGCCGCCCCGAAAAGGTTGGCGATTCTGAAAAAGCGTGGGCTTTCTGTGCAAGCGTGTTTCGACAAAACTTTGCGCAGGAGAGCAGTTCATAATGCCTCCCTGGGCCCCTGACGATCAACGAATCCACATGACATCCATGTCAGTTTTTTCTCTGATCATATGTAACCTGTAGCATCCTGTAGCCACGTAGACAGCCGGTGAGCAAAGAGGGAGTGTGAACTCGGCCCCATTAAGGATCCAAATCCAAATCCAAACCGCTCGCAAGCCCAACAGGGATCGGAGGCTCAGGACAGATCAGCACAGCCGAATCACCCGAAAACTCCCGCAACACCTGAATCAGAAGCCCAATCAGACCTCCCGAGGCCCCAGAAGCGGGAAACAGCGGCCACGGCCGCATGAACCGCAGAAAACTGCGCGACGGGTTAAACATGCTTTCTCATACCAACATGCCCCAGAACCTGCCCTTCCGCCACAGCAAAAGGCCAAGTCGCGTCGAGCATCATTCCAGAAATCCAGTCAATCGTCAGCCAAGGTGCCGAAAGTGATGCAAGCAAATACCAGTGACTTTGCTGTCTTCACCCAGAAGGTCTTGCTACGCACGAAACGGTCAGTCGCGGAAAGTCTCGTAAATACCAGCCATTGCGCGTGTCCGAAAAAACGAAGCCTGCGAAACACGGCAAATACCATCATTTTCGAGCCTGCAGACCCCCATTAAGAAAAAAGCACAAAAAAAAACGTGCTGTTTGGATTCCAGTGGCGAAAATATCCGACGAAGGAGCAAGGTGTACGCAGAGACAACCAAACCGTGGTAACTAGCGAGGAATTCGGACCCGAACAACGGGAGCGTGCAGAAGGTGTCGCAATTACCCAGCATTTCGCCTTCTGCAGAAGTTACGTCTGAGAAGCAGCAAAACAAGAACGAGAAGAAGATTGCAGTCAGACGGAGCGAAAGCGCTGTAACTACTGAGGAATTTGCATGTCCACTAGCAAAAGCATGTTCTTAACCCCCCCCTCCACCCCGCTTGACCCGCCCATGACCTCGGCTGGACGAAAAGTGCAACGCCCTCCGCGGCGGCGAAAAGCAGGGTAGCCATAAACTACCAGTAGCATGATGGCCATGACCAGAAGCCGTTTTGGGGAAGAGAAACACCGAAAACGGCTTCCACTCAGAGCAAAAACCGAGCAGAACGGCTGGAGCTGCAGGGGCGGACCTCCAAGTCCGAGATGTCCCAGGCTGCCCAGCCTGGAAAGTTGCCAAGGTTCAGCCGGGACCCCTTTTGGCCCTAAAGCTGCTGATGACACGTAGCCGCCGGCATGTTGTTGCTTCAGCGACCGCTCACTCCGAATGCAAGAACATATAGGGCCTACATAAGCTAAACACGAGACGGTTGACAGGCACTGAAGACAAACGGCTCTTTCGTATCTTTCGTGAAGCTCGTGAGGCCCTCTCCACTACCTGCCGAAGACCCAAACCTGAAATATGCATCGCGAGCCGTCGCAATGACTTCCCCGACAATGCACGAGCCCTGGCATCTCAGGAGCAGCCAGGCAGCGACAGTACAGTGTCTCATCCCGCAAAGGAATGGGCCGGTAGCCCAACAGGACCTGAGGGAAGTGCTGTTTCAATTACAAGCACTGCAAACCAACACCGCGAGTCGTGAAACCTTGTGGGTTTCTTAGATTCTAAGTGAAGACGTTGGTGGCGAGTAAAATGACACTATGATTACACGGGGGCCCTTTGCCGCAGGTGTCCTGCAGTCAGCTTCAGCTTCCTCGGCTTCAGGAGAGGGCTTCGATCCGGGGATGGAAAGCTTTCGTCGCTTCTTGCACCCATTCAGATCGCTTGCAGTAGAATAGGTAGCTTGAAACATAGCCCAGAATAGTTCATCAGAGCCAGTAGCTTCACAGAAGAGCATGCAGAGCTTGGCGTGTCTACATCACTTGCCTTTACATTTAATGGCACGATACTTGTTTCTGACTGCGCACAGAGTCACAAAACAACCCCTTACGCCCTCACGCTCGGACTCCAAACATCAGACACACAGTGAAATCATCGCAAGAGACTGAAGCCAAACGGAGGCACGACGCACTTCAAAACAAGGCTGGTTTTCCGAAGAGACGCCGCTGCTATCCAGATGCATTCAACCAAGTAAGGTTGGTTGGTTTGGGCCAATATAAGCCCATATAAGCCCTGAGCAGTGTCAAGGTGAAACCTCGACTTGTATTCTAAGCCTTGACCCCAACTACATGTCATGGCCACATGGCATAAGCACATCAGCAGCGCTTTGAGGGTCAAGCTGTCGAGTCCCCGAGTAAGGAGCTTCGTTGGCACCTAACAGCAAGCAATACAATGACAACCCTCTTTGTGCAGGCCTTCTAAACCACCGTTCGCTCTTGCAGCTCTTACAAGTGTGGGTGGGAGGGCAGTAGCCCCAAGAAGCAGAATCGAAGACATCGTCCTTTCTCGACGGCGCCGTCTTCCCTACATGCGTTGCTTTGCTTTCTGTGCTGGCCGAGATGCCATAAGAACAGCACAAAGTGCGAATCCAAGGCATCCTTCCAGGCAGTCGCCGGTGTGCCAATGCTGGCTCGTAGACATGCGGCCGAGCTTCGACGTGCATCTCCAGCTTCTCTTGAATCTGCACCAGCTCTTGCTTGTCGTAGACGCCGGACCTGTGAGCCGCAGCACAAGGGCGTTATTTTCAGCAACTCCGGGGTCTGACTGGAGCTGCTCTGTGGCTAATCTCGTCCCTCTGTGGCCCTGGCGTGGAAGCCCGAGCTGGCTGTGCCAGAGAGGCCATGTAATTCGCATGCGGCTTCGGGAGTGGCCTCGGGTACATGGGAAGAAAGGAGCCCTTGAGTGGGTAAGTGTCGAGGAGTGCTTTGCAGTCAATTTTTTTTAGATGCAGCATTAAATTGTTTGAGGTCTGGCCCTCGGCAAGGGAATTCAGATCATATATCTCCTGTGTAGCTGCTTACACGTTTACTTGGTCTCCCTACTTCTACATACTACACAATAACCAGGAGGATGCATATTTTTGCCCTTGTCCGAAACATGTGGTATTTTGACCTAGCAAAGCAGTGCTCCTGCAAACTGCTCGGCCTGCTTGCTTTTTAGCAGTGCCAATTGAATGCGTACAACATTGCAACAATCACATTGCATGCTTCGCCACAGACAGATGTGACGCAGCAGGTCCATCTGTGGAGGCGACAAGGCTCAAACCGTCACGCCCCTCGTAAGAACGAGCGCCCGCGGAGAATCAACTGAGAATTCTGTTGAAGCAGCCCTCGCATGCCCTTACCAACAAATCCAGCTCCTAAGCTCTCGGAAGCCCGCACGCAGCTTCGAACGAGGTCAGTACGCTTCCCTCGGCCATTGCACGGTGGGAAGGCGCACCTTAGAATCAAGCAGTTACAAGTAGCTTTGGATCGCGGGACTTCTTGGCAATCTTGAAAACAAAGTGGGCGCAGTGACATGTCGCGGGAGGCCGATTCAGGAGTCTGGAGCGAAGGTGTATAGGAAAATCTTCGAAGAAACTCTGGTATACATCGCCGAGGCTTGCGCAGAGCTTGGATGCAAAGAGACGAAATACTTTGCAGTCTCGTACCTGGGGAGGAGTGTCTTCCTGCTTAGTTTCGATTCTGCGCCTGTCCATGTGCAAGGCACACAAGAAGCGAGGTCAGAAAGAATCGTTTCAACATGCAGAGCACAACTAACGTTCGATTGCGCAGGAAAGGCCACAAGCCTTTTCGTCCCATCACAGCACTACTTGCACAACCCCGCACTCCCACCCTGACGCACCAGGCAAGCTCCAGGCCAAGGTCTGCGGCATTCAAGACCAGCTCGTCGAGCTCCACATGCAAGACGTGGGGGCGCCGGTATCTGGTCATGCTGCGCTTCAACCCCAGCTTCTTTGAACGAGGTTCTTGGCCGCATGGTGTCCGGCTCCCTTGCATCACCCGGTCTGCATGACACTGATTAGACCTGTCAATTTATCGCTCCCGGCAATTGCCAAGCTGCTTGCACTGCAGTCCTCGAGACACGGACATGCTGCGCCAAGACTGCAGGTGGACCCCCGTTCCAAAGCAGTCCCGGCCTTTGCGACGCCTCCGCACGTGCGTGCGCTGCCCGCACTGGCGGCAGTTGATTCTGCCCACCCACCTCTTGCACGGACACGACGTGTGGGGACATGCGTGTGGAGAGGACGGGAATGACACCGCTGAAAAGCCAGCAACTGCTACACACACACAGACAATGTCATCCAATCTATGATGCACATATAACTTCACTTGTTCTGGTCACGATGCCCGCTCACAAGTCAACATATCCTTATACCGGATGACCCACAGGAAGCACCAAGCCAACACGCCGCATTGGAACACGTTCGTGGCTGACACAGGGCAGACCAGTAAGGCCAGTCAGGGGGAACAGGTCAGCACTGGACAGATGCCTGGAAGCACCTTTACCTATTGCGAGCAATCCCCAGCTCTACGAGGCCTCCGGAGGCAAAGTTTGCGATGTCTTCCTGCACGTCGAGGCTCTTGCTTTCTGGTTCAGGTTACTGCATGTGTGATGACCTGCCGTGTGAAAGGGGATCACTGGCCGGCCGAAGGCAAAGTCACTATATGAGCCTATGCGAACAACTGCCTCGATTGCAGCCTTCCGAACTCTCCCCAGCTCTGCCTGCTGCCGGCGCCCTGGGTTGCAGCAGGCTCCAAGCCAGGGGGAGTCGTTGCGAAACATCTTCTGGCTCTGAGAATGGGTGGCTTCGCGCTTGAGACAACAAATGCAGCTGCATCGATGTGCAGTTCAAGGCCGAAGCAGCTGCGAGATGGCGCCGGTATTCCAACCTTACCGTGCCATGTGGTACCGAAGTTGCATGAAGCCGAAGTCTGGCGCGGCTCAGGTCACTGCCACCTCTCTGCCCGCGGTGTGATCCAGCCTGTGCCGTCGCATGTTTGTCAACGAAGTCCTACTCCGTGCTCTCACCCCGCTCCCGCGCCTGAAGGCAATGGTCACAAACACTGCTGAAGCATTTTCACGCTCCTATTCACAGAAGTGCTCATGCCCTTCGAGCCTGCTTCTGCCTCCGGGGGCGGCAACACTGCCATGGCTCAGAAAACCATCTGTGGGGCTTTGATGTTGCTTTCATGTTTGCCTGGGCTCGCCGAGTTCCGAACATGCAGTGGGGGAGGACCAAGCTTTCTTCAAGGGGTGTCGCTTGCAGAAAATCCACCACAGGGGTGCTGTTGCCCGCAACTCTTGGGGCTTTGAGGGAAGAGGACCTGTCAACGTAAATTGGTAGGGCGGAAAGTCATCATCTGGGTTGGGCTGGGACCCCTCTCTCTCCCCCTCCCGGGCTTCGGAAGCGTCAAGCTTCCGGGGCCGATTCCCCACCCTTTAATTACGGGCTTGGCAAGGAAGCTGTGAACCGTGGCTTGCTTGCAGGGGGTATGGGATGCCAGGAGACCTCTGGCCGGAGGGCGCGGCTGCCCGTCAGCTTTTGCAAGTAGGCAACAGAACAAACTTTGCGAATCAACCCGTTTTAGACCAAGTTAAGAACACTGGTGCAAAGATGTGGGCGACAGGTGGTGCTTGCATCATTCCTTTTTGTTAGTGCTGTTGCAGCTCGATGCCGCTTGCTTGGCGAATCGTCCTCTGCTTCGCAGAAGCCCGTTGCAGCTTTGCAGTCGCTGACCGGCTGAATGACTGCTGGGCCGTGGCGGCCCAGCACGTTCTTAGAGGGATACTACATCCACCCCATCCCTCCACCCCATGCATTTAAGCACAGCTTTGTGGCCGACTGCAAAAATTGAAAACGAGCTGCGACGCAAGTGTGTGCAACCATAAGGCTAAGCCTATGCTCGCGACATGTAACACGTACCGCCACTTCCACTGGTGTCGCAACGATGTGAAACGGGAACTGGACATGCTTTACGTAGCATGTCGGGTGCTTTGATGCACCTTGGGTCACCGTGGTATACCTCCGCTCTTCCCCCCAAGTCCAGCGAAACCCCGTATTATGTCACGTTCGGTTACCCTTCCGAGGCATGGCATCGACAAGTTAAACCTTTGCCCATCCAGCGGGGACATCACTCGGCACCTCGGGCGGAATCCAGCCGCACACATTGAAAAATACTTGTAGCATCTCTTAGCGCTTCTGTTCTTGTCGGCTTGGACTCAACACGAATGTGCCTAGCAACAAGCCTAGTTTCACTTGTTTCGTTCCCGGACCGCCAATATTCGCCAATGGTGGCAAACTATTTAAAAGGACTGCCCTTCAAGACCCGCGCACTTCTTTTGGAAGTGAAGGGCCTCTCACGGTAGTCTTTGCACGCGCAGACTTTAGGCCGTTCGCAGAAAAAATGTGCTCAACTCGCAATTTGCGATTGCATGCTTCACTTCGGAGCCAATATTGCAAGTGAAGTGGCTATTCATCATACTCGATACCATCTTACCATATGCCAGGGCTGTCAGCCGACGGTGCGGTGTTCAACTTCGGCAGAATTGCACCTGTGCAGCAATCATGCCAGGTCATATATCGAATCCATGTTGATTAAAGCCAGTTGGATGTTTCATCGCACTGCCGGTTCATACGGTTGGATTGCAAGGCAGCACACCCAGTAAATGTCGCTCATATTTGTTCACCAACAATCGGGCACTCAAGCAATCCTGCCAAGCCTGATTCTACCAACCTCTTCGTGAGCTTGGACAGTTTTTGATCCATCTGCTGAATCATTGCGCGCATCGCCACCTGAAATCAACAGGGCACACGTCACAACTGCAACCTGTGAGTGGGTGCGTCTTCCCGATAAATCCGTGGCGGCCGCAAGAAGTTTTGCATGTGTCGCAGCATGTGGTCGAATTAACAGGTGCTGGCGCCTGGTCAATTGCCCTCGCTGGGCCTTTGCACCGCATGATGCCTTCGATGAACTCATCCAATGTGACCTGGCAAAAACCAGTGGTTCAACACGCAGAGCACATATCATATCTTTCGGCAGCAGCATTTGTGCAAATACGATGGCAAACATCGCAGAGCAGGCGAGAGCGAACTGCGTGTTCAAACTCCAATGAAGTGATGCTAGAGTTGCTGGTGCGACTGTCACTGCAGAAAACCCACCGAAGCCTCACCGTCTCCGTTATCGATCAAGTGGAAAAGTGCGGCACTTTCTGTCACGTCCACCTATGCAAAAACCGCGGCAGCTTGGCAGGTGTCTGAAAGCTTGCATAACAACTGCGAATCCTCGCATCGTGCGGCTCGGCGACATCCAGCGTCTGAAAATAAGCCACCGCTTTGGGATTCGACAAGATGTTGGCAAGGCGCTCCTCCGAGATCCTCATCAGGACATTGTGTGCGAACGATGGTGCGTTTTTTCTCAATCGTGAATCTGCAATTGGACTGCACATCATCCAGCTTTAATGCAACCGTCGCCACATGCCATCCCCTGAGTGGTCGATGGCCATGAACACCTCCTCCAACTTCTTGACATATTGGGCCTTTTTCCGCAGGCGTTCCACCACCAAATTTTCCGCATCGTTCTGCGCAGCATCTAAGGTATCCTTCAAAAATGTTGCGCTGATTACACGTATCACAGCGAACACGATGATGGTGATGTAGATGACGTAAAAAATCACGAACGAGTGGTTCACCTTCTCCAGAACAGGCCGCGCGTTAGTCGGCCAGTTGCCTGTCCAGCAGCCAAACAACTGTTATTCTGCTCAAGCTTTCAACTAACCTCTCTGTTGGGCATGTTTCGTGCCTGCGAAGGTAATTTCATATAAAGTGTACATCGCATGATAAGCTGTGCCATAACGCGAATAAATCCACAGCCGGTCGTCCATGTTGGCATCTTTGTCCGTAATGAAATCCCGCAGAAGGTTGCCCATGACGAGAGTGCCCATCGACATGAAAACAACCTTCGAAACACAACTCCATAAACATCCCTGCAGAAACTGCGGCAAGCATGCCTCTTCTGGCATTACGTTCCACACCAAGCTTTCCATCACACCCCAAGCAACCAGCAACACCATTGACCATCCCAAGGACGGCAGGAAGCACCTGGGTTGTTCATGCATGGGACTCCCTGCTGTCTGGCGCAAGATCACCGGCGCTCTGCGTCTTGATCTCTGCCCAAGGCACTGACAGGCCTTCACTAACAAATTTAAGCCGCGAAAGAGTCGAAGAGTACGGACCATGCGAATTGCTCGCAATGATTTCACTACACGCACCAATCGCATTACAACCTCAGTCATTGCGATCGGGCGCAAACAGGTGCCAATGCGGCTGCAATAGCTTGCCTAGTGGCAATGTTCTGAGGTTCGCCCGTGTCCGACAAGGGCACAAACACGAGCAAATCCAAAACCTCAGCTCGGTTGCCACGCGCAGGCATTGGCCCCAGGGATGATTACGAAAAATGTCCTTGTCGAAGTCATAATTGCAGGCTTGGTAGTCGTGACAACACCGGCACTTCAGAAAAACAACACGTGTGACGATTTATCTTATCAGGTTAATGGCAGCAAAAATCAGGTAAATGAAGCGGCAAACATGAATTGGCAAAAAACATATTGGCAATGTTGATTTTGCCTCCAGTCCGTGCTGAACTGGCGGGATACGATACGAAATACCGAATCGCATCGTCATACTATCGTATGTGATGTACGCATTTTACGGCGGCTTTCCTGCAAAAGAAAAGTCCACAGTCGCGTCGCAGCTTGCGCGGCACAAAGACACATGACACATGTTACGTTTCGTTTGTTCATAGAATCACACACATTCTCCACCGTCCTGCCTTCCTATACTCCGAACATGCTCGCATGATGTTGTGTTCTGTACAAATTAGCAAACCCTGTAACTCAATAATGACATATTTATCCCACGGGGCCTCTTCGTGCAGAGCGCCTCCGCACTGCGTGCTGAGGCCACGAACTAATGATCAAAGGCCACGTATTAATGATCCAAGGCCACGATTTAAGGACCAAGAGACCCGAGAGAGGCAGGCGGACTGCCCGACATCGTGGTCGTTTCTCTGAGGCACCGTGCCGCTTTTGCGCATCAGGTGCAAACACTCTCTCACACGCATTGACAGAGTGCCCACCGCATAATCTAGCTCGCAGACGCTGGTGCCAACAAACTCGTGGACGAAACGACGTCTCCTTGCACACCTCGTTTTGCACCGATCCAGCAGTCAGCGCAGCTGGAGACATTCTGCGAAGCGTTGTGTTTGTTGGCGCTGTGTGCCACGCAGCTGCCACGTGTGAGATGTGATTTGAGCCGTAGTGCCGTAGTAGACAATCGTTCCTGTCATGTGCATGTTCTTTCTCACTTTCATTTTCGTTGTTCATTGCTTGGTTGTCGTGTGGTTGTTGTTTCTGGCGTCAGTGTTTTATGCAAAGGACCATTTCATTAGCATGTTTCATGGCGAGTACAGCCGCAAGCTGTTAACATGATCCAAATTTGAAGCCCTGCGTGGGACCTCACTGTTGACCACCCGCCCGCCCGCACCCACCCACCAACCCACCCAACCCCGGCCACCGACCAAACCCACCCGCCGCCACACCAAAAACCTCAACAACAATTCACAAACCCAAGCCGATAAAATTCACAAAAAGTTCATAAAACCAAAGCAAAACAATCATAAAACCAAGACGAAAAAATTAATTAAAACACTTTGGAAAAACCAAGGCGAAAAAATCATTTAAAAAAAAAACCAGAGTTCATAAACAAATTTGTATATCATTGTTTTTTACAGTTTTTCGGTAATTAAAAAATTCATAAACACAAGGCGAAAAAATCGTAAAACGTGCACGAACCCAAAGCAAAAACTTCATACAAAGTTCAATATACGAAGTTCAAAGCTCTGCCCCTCTCCTCCCCCCCCCTGCCTTGCCCTGCCCTGCCCTGCCCTGCCCTGCGCTGCGCTGCGCTGCCCTTTGTTTCCCTTCCCTCTCTTTCCCTCCTTTCCCTCCTTTCCCTGCCCTTCCCTTCCCTCCTCACTCCCTCACTCCACTCTGCCTCCCTCCGCTTCACTGGGCCGCCCTCCCTCCCCTCCCCCCCCCATCTCCCCGTTTTTGCAACCTGCCCACCCGATTATATATTTCTGGATATACACATATAAAGTATATATATATACACACACACCTGGATATGCTGTACGTATACATACATGCGTACGAACATAAACGCATATAATACCTGCCTACACACATACAGGCGTACACGCCTACATACGCACGAGGATACATACATCTATATATATATATATACATACATAGAGAGAGAGGAGTGAGACAGAGAAAGAGAGAGAGAGAGAGAGTGAGCGAGCGGGCAGAGACATACACATGTATAGTTCATGTTCGCATATGTATCATACAAATATATATATATA